ACAGTAGCCCAAACTCAGGGGTTGTGTGTGGCTTGTCATTGAGCAAAGGGTCATTACTGAAATGTGGGTTATTGTGTGGTCTGAACCCCACTGAGATGCACAACCCACAGTTCACAACCCAGCGATAATCTATGGGTTCTTTTCATGGGTTGTTTGTAGTTAACAGACAATGGCCTGTTAGCACAACTAGATCCAGACAACTTGATAAGCCATGATTCAACCCCTATTCAGTCTTTGAATATGTGGGTTATCATCTTGTGTGAATCCTATCAATGTAGAGCTGGATGAAGTTGGAAAATGTTGTTGGACTCAATCTCCCCTCAATCTTAACCAGCATTGCCACTGGACAGGGTTGATGGGAGTTGCAGTCCAGCAACATCTGGAGGTCCACATGTTCCACTGGGGTAGACAGTGCTGAGTGAGATAGCCCAGTTGTCTGATTTGGTCCTGCTCTTAGAAACTGTGGCTTACAAAGGAATTTCAGATAATCCCTTGCCTAAGGCCGCACAATTTATCTCTGGCAGAGGTTTGAAGCCAGGGCTCCCAGACACAGCTCTTTAATTGGGTTTGCATGACTGGGGAAGGGAAAAAAGCCAGAGTGGCTTCTTTTCCCCACCCACACTGGCTGCTGCATGCCACCTCATTTCCATGACTTACCCACCAGGTTCAGGTTGCCTTGCCATCTGAACCTGGAGGGGGCTTTCCACCCCATCCCCACAATTGTTTAGTGATTATGTGAACCTGGCCATTAGTCCCTGGCTCTCAATCTAGTCTAGACTGCAAGAAGAGCCTTTCTGTGGCAGAATTCCACCTAGTTCATTAGCCAGTTCCATGCAGTGGCCATAGGTAGATCATGAGAGCCAGAGTTTTCCTCCCTGCAACTGGAGCAAACATGGATTTACTGATTTATTTATTGCTGACATGGCTGGCAGCTGTTACTAAAAGCCATCGATCTCATCAATGGCCAGGATAGCTGAATGGACATCCATGCTCAGAGGTATCAACTGCCCAGTTAGGCCTTCAGGCATGGGCTTCAGGGAGGAATTGCAAGGCTGTTCATTCAGCAAGGGTGCGTGAACAGAAGAGTCCTCTTCCCCAGTTCGGATCCACGCAAGCAAGTGGCCTGCTGGACAACTGGGGCCTCCAGTGTTGGCATTGCTGGGAGCAAAGCAGCTCCGTCACCAGCTGCACCCATTGCCTGGGCTACCTCCCAGGGCAGGTTGAACTCTCTGTCCATGCAGAGGAAGAAAGTCAACGGGGATGGAGAGGCAACTGAAGGAGTGGGTGGTTGTGATGGTCAGAGTATTAGACCTGGAGTCTAACATTACTTAACTGTACCACGTATGCCAGTTTTCCATGAATTGGTCCTTCAGTCATCTAAAACTGGTGGCCATCACCATGTCTTTTGGCAGCTACTGTCTCTTATGTAGTCCTGTGCATCCTTTAAAATATGTTTTCTGGGCCTCTTGCTTCAAAGATTTGTTTTACATTTTGGGTGAAAACCTCATATTGAGTGCTGGCTTGGAACCATGCAGATTCCTTGAGCCTGCCGAAACTTGTTTCTCTTTCATGATGATGCTGTCATAATGAGTTAGTCACTTGAGTTTTCGAAAGAAGTCATTGTTCTGCGGTTTGCCAATCAGATTATTACCTTGGCACCCTCCACTTTTGGAGACAGGAAATGTAATAACGTTCAACATTCTTTGCAGTTTTGCTCTCTGACCTGAGCTTTTCCTTAATGAACTTTGTTTCTGAGTGTTGTTTCCTGCATCCCATTTGTGATGGTTGAAATCTGATTTCTGCTGGCAATAGCTGAGTGGCTTCAGCTTATATCTTCTGTGCAATTTGTTCAGTGAGACTTCAGTTTATGTGTAAAAGGTCTTTTTCAGCTCCACTTTACAGCCTTGCAATGATAAGCACATGGCTCCACTGCTCCTCAGGTCCGTGTAAGGCATGTTGTGATCTTTCCTCAGTCCTGCTTCAACCTCTCTCCTGAGATTCTTTCCAGGCCGCAACTTTCTAGGGCCTGTGTGAAGATTTCCCTTGAGTCCCGTTGACCTCTGCTTCTCTCACAACAGTTGTAGTGCTCTTTGGCATTCTCTGACTGTTCCTTCCTCTCTATGGACAACATGGATAAGGATGGGACAAAAGCTCCTGGCATCTGCAACTTGCTAAGCTTAATCTTTTACCAGAAGAGTCTGCTGCAAAGAGGACCAACCTTAACTTGATAATTAGCACATTGTCGCAGCATCACATGCTTCAGTTTGAGTTCACTTATCTACAATTCCTAAATACTTCTCAGTCAAGTGTTCTTATGCCTTTGTTTTGCTTTCCTCCATTCTCTACAAGAACTGGCATGGAAATGTCTTGAGGACTAGCATCCATCAGATTAAATGCTTTCTACTTCTGTTATGTTGGTCATCCTGTTTGCTGACTTATGCACCAACTTATAACTTTTTCTCTCTTGGGTGTGGCTGAGAAATAGCTTACATCAGACCTCCCCCCCCTTGGTGCCTTCCAGATCTTTGGGAGTTTGGCTCCCATCAGTCCCAGCCAACATGCCCAGTAGTCAGTAATGCTGGGAGTTGTAGTGTAAATAATCTGGAAGGCCCCAAGTTGAGGAAGGCTGGCCAGTATCTGCTTTCCTGCCTGCATATGTCAGATGTTTCAGGTGGCTTGATTGTATGATGGAATTATAAATACCACAGTAAGTCCCTGTGGAAAAATGCCTTTTCCCTCCTGATCGCTCTCTCAAGTGTCTGGGTTTTGGCCCTTCTGGGCACCCTGCAGGGCTGGAACACTGTGGCAGAATAGAATGCTTGCTCTGTTTGGAATGTTCTCCTTCTGTCGCAACCTTGCTTGTGATTGGCCTGAGTCACCCTGAGCGTTCTGCGTGTCTCCTCGGTACAGGCTTGCTTCACGCCCTGTTCTTGGCTTTCTTTAAGTACGTCCCTCTAACTCTCTAAGGTATGATTTCATACGCATGCTCCTTCCTGACTCTCCAGTCCTCAGTGGGGACTCCACTTGGTATCCTTCAGCCTTGTGAAATGCAGCGTCCAGCTACTAAGTGCAGGGCTTTTTCTGTGATGGCACCTGCCCTGTGGAATAGCCAGGCTGCTGAGGCTTGTCTGCCCCCATCTCTCTGCTTTAGGCTGCTGGCAAAAACATGGTCCTTTGGCCAAGTATTTTCCTGGTTTATTTTAATGCTTCCCTATTACCAGCCCAGAGAGCTTCTGCTGCAGGCAGTATAGAAATCTTGTTGTTCTTACCACTCTTACTACCACCTCCGCCACTACTACCACTATTAAAGGCCAGTGTGGTTTGGTGTAGTGGTTAAGAGCACGGGACTGGGGCAGGATCTGGTTCTAGTCTCCTCTCAGCCATGGAGCCCACTGGGTGCCTTTGGGCCACTCAAAGGCTCTCAGCCCAACCCACCTCACAGGGTGGTTGTTGCTGTGAAGATAAGATTGAGAGGAGGAAAATTATGTTAGCCACCTCAAGCTCCTCGGAAGGTAAGAAAGAAGGATGTAAATACAGTAAATAAGTAAATATTATTATTTCTTTACTGCCCAGTAGCCAAAGTTCTTCCTATATTTGCCAGCTCTGTCCCTAGAAATTGTTCATATTGGGTGTTCAGAGATGCAGTTCTTAAGGCTTGAGAACGGTGTATATCTTGGCATATAGTTTTAGCTGCCTTGACTTCCTCTTGGAAGTAAGGGAGGAGGTTTTTATTTACTTATTTTTAATAACACAGAAACAAATGAAATACTGTATACCATTTCCCCACCGACGCATACCAACATGGACGGAGACTGGGATTTCCTGATTTTTTGAAAGACCTTGTCTTAGGATGATGCCAGGCTACATGAAGGAGGATTGCGATTTGTCTACCTTAAATCTCACATCGCTCTTCTAGTCTCGAATCTTCCTTGCATTATGGACCGCCTGTTTCTGTGTGTCACCTGGACACATCCAGCATTCCTTCTGCAGTCCAATATTTTAGGAAATATCCATGCAAGTTGGCAAGCTCTCTTATCAAGGGAGCTTGTCTACCCATCATTAACCAAGCTTCTCAATGGGGGACCTTTCTCAACGGTCCCCTCCTAAGAACACAGTTCAGAAAACCACAGAACTTACCCAGAGACTGCTTGGTGATGGCACCCTTCCATGATGCTTCCAGATGATGTTTGTCCAATCGCTCTGACTCATGAATTGAATTTTATGGAGGGTCTGGACGTCACATTCTTCCATGTGTAACCCTCCTGTGTTTTCCCACTTCTTCTGATTTTGTTTTGTTTTTTGTTTTGGATATACTGGTGAATAGTTGATGATTGCAAACTACCTTGAGTTCTTCTTGGAAGGAAAAAAGGCAGAGTATAAATTTTAAACTTCCTATTAATTTTAATCGGCTTTAGCTTATCCCCTTTGCTCTGAAAGCATCATACAAGCACTTTTTAATTATAATTTTGGCATGCCTTTAGCTTGAATTCTTGAGGATTAAACAGGATTAAATTCATAGGAAACTCTACACCAGGTTGGATGGACTATTTGTCACTCTATCTCGGAACTTTCTCTGCTCAGCAGAACTGGCACTTTCTCCTCCCCTGTTGCCTACAATGTTCCTGGGGATGCCAGGAATGGGACCCCCGCTTTCCAAAAGAAACTTGTGTTATTGGTCTACCTAGTGGTGGTGTCTGCTTTGTTTATTTTATTTTTTTAGGAAGTCAAATAAATGAATAGCTAAGCTTTAAAACCCCTCTATAATAGTAACAACAGCACAATGGAACAGAAATAAAGCATCTTTCATTTAAAACAGAAGAAAAGACAGCGGCCACAACTTGGTGGGGTGTGTGTGTACTGAGGTATATTATATAGGGAAATTTAATCCATTTCCTTTCTGTGACTCTTGGGGAAGAGGGGGGCTACTTGGAAAGAATGGAGCAAATGCTCTGGCCCCCATTTTATGCTTCCATTTTCTCCACCATCTTCTGTTTTTGCAGAGTTCCACGTCTCTCTTCGTGCTAAAATGAAGTCTGGCACTGCAGAAGTCCTGCTTCTCCTGTTGGCTGGTATTGTCCTTGGCAATAATAATAATAATAATAATAATAATAATAATAATCCATTTCATGGCACCCTGATCCTTCAAAACTGTAGTGTATAGGGAAGGGTTTAACCTTTCCTTCCTTTGCTGTTATCTTGCCAAAAGTCCCCATTCACCACCATTGTTAGAGTAGCTCCAACTTCCCCTCCTTTCATGCAAGTTTTGCAACAATTTGTAGTAGGGCTGGCAGCTTTTATATTATGGAATGCATTCACATTTCTAATCTTCCCACCCAGTAAGTAATGTTCTCTTAATGGGCCAGAAGATGAGGCTAGGACAGGCAAAGTTATTCTGAATCTGAGGTTTGCTTGCTCTGCAGCCTCCAGGGTCAACTACTTGTCAGGACAATATTTTCATGACGAGCCAAGTGGCTGGCCTGCTGGTGATTGTAGTTCTCAGGAGACCAGACTGGCCATGTGGCTTGGCCATTGGGCTGCCTTTTGCGTAAGAGAGCCGATCCACTGGCAGTGCTATGCTGCAGGAGTAAATGCCTCCAACTGCAACTCAAGGGAGCAGTGATAACTTTCAGTGAACAAATGGCATTGGGTCAAGGTGATCACTCCTCCCTTTAGAGACCTGCCTGTACAAACAATAAAGGTATGCCTGGAAGATGCACATTAATGGGGCTTTAGAGCTGAAAGCTGGTCCTGAAAGAAATACGGCCATCTGTATTTATTTATGATATTTATATACCACCCCATAGCCCACAGGGCTCACTGGGTGATTTACAAATATTAGAGCACATCTGCAAATAATAAAAAACCCAAGATACAACAAGGACACAATATAAAGCACTGAAATACTAAGCAGCAAGTAACACCAATAATTATAAAAATTATAACCCTAACCCCAAAAATTAACCACCCAGTGCAGCAGCAACAATAGCAATATTACTGTACAAATATATAAAAATTTCCATCTTTTATTTCTTAAACTATCCAGTAAATAAAAAGGATTTCAGCTGGTGCCAAAAGGATGGCAAAGACGGTGCCAGTGTCATCATGTACAACAGAGGTGCAGAGCATAGGTCTGGCAGAGGAATCCGGTCTGACTCTTTGGAATTCTTCGGATAACCAGGCCTCCTCCCCTCCCCTTGGCTCCATCAACTTTCTCCCAAAAATAATTTGTTTTCCCTCTCTAAAAGATTGAAATGCCTCTCCAAGGCTTAGTTGCTGGCAGGAAGAGCTTTAAGCTAAGCTGTGCTGGTCATTTTGGCCCTGCCTCTTTGGCCTTTGGCTCCACCCAGCCCTCCAATGCAGCCCCCCCCCCCCCCCGGAAGCTTCTCTGAAATAGAATTTGGCTGGTAGGCTGAAGGAGTTTCCACACCCCTGTTGTGCAATGCAAGACACCTGGGCAGGGCATCTTAGAGAGAGTATGGTAGGTACAGTGGCCCCCCACCCCTGCCCTCTCTGAAAGCTGTCCCTTGCTGTACAAAGGACAGCCTTTTCAGATGGGAATCAGAAGCCAAGGTTGTGGGGATGCCATCTCCTGGGAATAACTCTTTCCATCTTGTTCTGTAGCATTCCCGCTCCTGGCGGCAAACGATCCTACAGGTGAGTAGCTTCTTGCATGCTGACCCTAAGGGTTTACATGTGGCGGATGATCTCCTTATAGTCCAAGGGTGGATGTGCCAATTCCATTTAAGCCCAGGTTAAGCAATGAGGCTTTGCAGAAATGCTTAGGCAGCCAGAGAGATAACAGCACGTACAGCCTTCCTGCTTGGCAGCCTTCTAGATATTTGTGCACTGGGGTTGACACAGAAAATTTCTTCCTTGTCAGGTGAGTTGATCAAACATGCCCTGGGATTCCATGGAAGGGTTCAGAGGTCCGGATTGCGAGCAGCCCATTCAAAGCCACCTTTGAGTAACAAGTGTGAGAATGCGGGATAAAAATAGCAGCCAAAAGGGACGGAAGAGACAGAGGTTGGTCTGTCGGACCAGAGGTTGTTCATTCCGTCTTGCTGCATTTGTGGGTGCAGTGTCAATGCTTCCCATTCCAGTGCCTGAGCAGGAGTGGGCAGCATAACGCCCATGTCCCGCATGCAGCCCAGTTCACACTCAACGGGGCGCAGCATGGATGAATTAACCCCCAGTGTGCTGCAGCATGCTCTGTGCATGAGTAAGCCTGGTTTGCTTATTCAGCCTCCAGTCAGTGCGGTTGTAGGTTGCTGCCTGATGCATGAACCTGGATGCTTTGGGCTGTTCGTGGGTTAAACTGCTAGCGTTACTTTGTTGATACAGATCAAGAGAGCTGCCGGGGGCTGTGCTGTGGGGACTTCATGATGAGCTGCAGCACTTCGAAGCTAACCACAACATCCCTGGTGGCAAATTTGGATATTCCCATCCCTAGTCCTTTTGGCACATTATTGTGGTTTTGGAGTTGGGAATTCTAAAGGCAGAACATTAATTGCTTTCTCCTTCTCTATCCAGATAAAGACAGCCCCTTCTATTATGGTGAGTGCAAGTCTTTCTTGGCAATTGTGTGTCATCCGTCTTTTGGCCAAAAGCAATTGTTGCATAAACAGATGGGCTGAGCGTTTGTTTAGGAAACCAAGAGAGGCAAGCTTTTCTTTCTGTGCCAAACAATGCTGCTCTACAGTGGAACTGACCCCATCCCACAGAGTGCTGTTCCTTAATCCTACCTGTATTGCTCCCTTACAAATCCTAGTGACAGCTGTGGGTTTGTTTCATCCTTTCCACGAAACAGACCCTTAAGGCAAGTCTGATAGCTTCCTACCTGCCCCCAAATCTCTGCACACTGGAAGAATGTCTCCCCTATCCCACCACTCTTTCTCCAGTCGAGAAGGGGGGCGAAAAAGTGGGCGAAAAGGTACTTGCTGGATTGGTGGGAGGCCCTGAAGATAACCTCAATCCTCAACATCTTTCCTTTTCTGCTTCAGACTGGCATTCGCTTCGTGTTGGCGGTTTGGTCTTTGCTGGAATCCTCTGTTTTCTGGGAATTGTTATCCTGTTGAGTAAGTGGAAACAGAAATGGAGGAGGAGAAAGCTCAGGGGAGGTGGGAGCTCATTGCCCAGTTGCCGATACAGTTTAGCCCAGCTCCCTTTGGTGGTCTGAGTTGTAGCTTGTGGCACTTTGTGCTGCAGTGGAAGGAGGAGGGAAGGCTTACTTGGTTGCATTCCCTGCACACAGGTAAAGGGGTGGCCAGAAGAAGGCTATGCAAGAACCCTTGCATGGAACCTCTCAGTTCTCTCTGGGCAAGCATTAAGTCATAGGAGCCCCTTCCCCAACTGCAGGAGGGAAAGCGGAACAAGCACGCAGTGTGTTTATCAGTTTAATAGTCCTTTCCCACACAATGTACCTCTTCAGCCAGAATGGTTCATAGAGTGATTAAGAACAAACAGCAGTAAAATTGTAGCCGTAAAACAAAAGGGGTTTACTGCCTCTATGAAAGGCAGGCTATAAAAGAGACTTTATTGGCTGACTTCCAGCTTGATCCCCTTCCTTTTAAGATAAGGATACATTGAGTGACCATTAAAAATAAGCAGTGTTAGGCTGTTGATACCCCCCTGAGCTAATATTTCTGGCTATAGCTCTCCAAGGTAAGAGGCAGCCATGGTGAGCTAGATAATTTTAGATCCCGGACCTAAAGGTCTTATGGGAACAGGGGCTTAAATGGCTTTCTGTATCCCCTCCTGCACACAACTGACATTGCTTCATCTCCCATCAGCCACCATCCCGTGCTTTGCAGTTGCGCCTACATTCCTGTGCATTCAAACTGTTGCCAGCCAAGTCCAGTGCTGCACAAGAAAGAAACTGGGGGGACAGGACTCGCAGCACATGAAGTTTTGCATTTCAATCTCCCTTAAATCATCGCAGCATCATAATGGCAGGAATAAAACAGAGCTTTCTGCTCCTGTCCTGGGGCCCTCCTCATCTGCCACTCTCTGGGTAGTTATTTGGGATCGCTGGCCTTTGGCCCCAAGGTCCAGCTTCAGCTGCACCATACAGAGGGTGAGGTCTTCCCACCATCCCCACCAGCCCTGCTACCTGGACTGCCAGGAGCTGAGGCTGGTATCTCCCACATGCAAAGCTCATGCAGGACACCTGCATTTAGGCAGCAGCTGACGAATCTTTCTTGCATTTATTTTTTCTCCCCAGGTGGAAAGTGCAAGTGCAAACCGAAGAAGAGAAGCAGGTATGAAGGGATGTCTTGTAAGGGGCAGCTGGCAGCAAGTGGGGCTGGCAAAGCTGAGCAGAGTACGCTGGGGTTCCAGGGGGCTTGGTTCTGCAGAAAGCAAAGCATCCAGTGAACTAAAACTGGATAGCCGATCACTGGTGTAAGTTGTGCCTTGGATTTTCATAATGTATCTACTTTCTCTGTTTAGTGTCCAGGTTGGTAATGCACCAAAGCAACCCCTTACAGGTGAGTGCTCCTTTAGGGATAGAAAAGCTACCCCATCCACCCCTGCCTTTATCATATAGTGGCCAAAAACCATCAGAAACAGACAAAATGCATGACTAGAAAAGAGGGCAGTGTTTTGCCAGGAAAAAAGCATATATTAATGGATATTTATGACACTAAATTTAGAAGCAGTTGATAATGGGATAGAAATACAGTATATCTTACCAGAGTGTGGAAGTCTGTGCTTGCTGTCCTACTGCGAACCACAGATGGACAACTTCTGGTTCTTCCCTTTAAGGAGACGTGTACTAGATTGTCCTTCAGACAGAGGATGCCTTGAAATAGAGGGTGGCTTTCTGGCCACCGTTCAAATGAGGACTTGCCTCAGTAAAGTAGGATGTATAGCCACAATACCATGCCACAGGCTGTAAGGCAGGGGTGCCCAAGGGCCAACTTCAATTCAAAGATATGTTTGGAGACCACATTCCAGTGGTGGGTGGAGCTATTTTAAATCTTTTAGTGCCAGAAATTAGGCCATAGGAGAAGAACCTTTTATATGGGGGAAATATGGTGCAAAAGCCCAGATTACCAAATGGTTGGAGGAAAGAGGCCCAGACCCTCTAGGAACCTGGAAGAACAGAATGAGAACCCAACACGGCTGAGTCAGGCTCCCAAGCTTGAGGTTCTGCCCACTATGCTTAACATTTGCTAAAGTTGAAGCAAGCTGGAATTGGGACCCATGTAGATGCAGCCCACATGCCTGGGCAAACTTTGTCTGATAGACCAGGCCAATGGCATGCAGCACTTCCAGTTCAAATTCTGGGCCAGAATTAAATTTTTCAATTGAAAAGAGATTACAAAAACTCTTGTATCATTGGATGAAGGCTATTGTATGTATGGCCATTAGCTTCGGAATTGCTGTGCAAGCAGCCCAATCCTCTTGCTTCAAAAATGCTGAAGTTTTAAAACCTTTTACAGGTTATTCAGGTGGGCTCTGAAAAGGCAGGTTTAAGTGAGATGGGAGAACAAGGGTATTCCTGCCATTTTGCCCTCTTGTGGCGGCTGCAAAGCACTTAATTGCAGCCATCCTTGAGTAGGAAAAACGTTACCCCTTCTGCTTCTTGGCTTACCAGAGATGCCACCAATTCTTTGCCTAAAGCAAGGGTGGTGGGGTCGGGGGGAGGACAGTTGTGACCCTCCAGATATTTTAGCTTGCAGCTCCCATCAGCTGTAGTCAGCATGGCCGATAGGTGCACAACAAGGAGTCAATAACTCAGGGGCGCATAGCATGCAAGTGATCTCCCAAAGAAGGTTGTGCAACACAGCAGGATCTCCAGCCATCACTGCGAAAATGGCTGTGGGAATAACTGTGGCATTAAAGCTGCCTTTGGGCTGGGCTTGCTGAGATGGCCTCCTCCTCCCTAGATCAGTGCTTAAAAACAATGACCCTGGAGCTGTGTGTGCACAAACGTTTCAACGAGCATGTCCTCAGCTTGCAACTAGTATTTGATGTGGCCACTGGGGCTGCAAAGACAGTCCTCTGCAGTAAAACTAGTTACATCCATGTGCGTAGTTGAACTGAACCTTGGCGGTCCCTCTGTGGCAAAGCGTCCAGGGATATCTGAAGGAAACAGACTGGCATTTTATTTCAGCAAGGAAATCTATACAGTTCCGCACATCTCCGGTTTGCTCTGCTGCCTGGTTCCTTCTTTCTCTCCTTTTCCATAGGAGGAACCAGTGAGTGCTGAGTCGAGAAAAGGTCTGTGCTTGCTAACATCAGCCCCGTCTTGCGTCTGTGAAATGGCTCCTCTCCACTGTCGGCAACAGACTGGTCTTTTTACTTTCATGTTATTTTAGATCCTTCCATGTGTCCTGGTTGGTTTATTTTTTTTAAATATAATAAAATGTCAGTGCTATTCAGAAATGACTTGTCTCTGAATGTGCAGGGAAAGTTTTCGTTTGAGGCCTTTACTCTCATGGGGCCCAATCAGTAGACATTTCTGTGGCAGAGGCCTCTCTCTCTCTCCCTCTCTCTCTCCCTCTCTCTCTCTCTCTCACACACACACACACACAGCTTTTGCAAGTTCAGTGTGAGAGATCCAACCGTCATTAAAACAACAGAAATCCTGCAAAAATCAGTAGATAAGAACATAAGAAAAGTCCTGTTGGCTCAGATCAAGGGTCCATCTAGTCCAGCACTTCATACACATGGTGGTGGACCAGCTGGAAGATGGTTGCAAGACTCAAGAGTGTCCTGCTCCAAGCGTTAATGAGCATGTCTGTCTGTACCACCTAAGGCTGGTGCCAAGGGTAGGCATGACTGGCACCTGACAAGGACGCACACCCAGGAGGGGCTGCCTGATAATTGCCCCTGGTCTTGCCCCTCTTCACTCTTGCAGCGTACTTGGTCATCTGCCTCTTGTTCTGACCCCAAACAGCATTTGTCGTAAGGAGGAGGTAAATTATTGGACACTGCCTGCTTACTCACTGCTGCTGCTCCCATCAGGAAAGCAAGTGGTAGCCATGGGAAGAAAAAGCACCAGGAGCACCTAGTACTGGAGGGGGCCCACCAAGATGCCCTCCCCAAGGGCGTTCAAAAACTTGGCACTGGCACTGGGTCCAGCTTTACATATGGATGCAAATTTGATGTGCAGATGTGATTATCTGCACTCAGCTAAAATATCGTATTTCAGAACTTGCTTTTAAAACTACAAAGTACACGCAGAAATGTAGGCTAGAGCAGGGAGAGATGGACATCCAGTTTCCAGACTGTTGCGGCTTTGTGTGTTTGTTTCTTCATTTACTAGAACCCAAAGCCCCACTCCCACTTAGCCTGAGCTTCCTTGATTTTCACATGGGAGGGGAGTCTTTTTTCCTTGCTGCTACGGTTGAAATACTGAGTCCAAAATCCTTAGCGATCTCTAGCAAAATACCCAAAATACAGAACCAGCCCTACAATCTGTCCATCCCAGACTAGTGCATGAGCACTGTGCTTTTTCTGGAGCCTGCTGCAGAAAGTGCATATGGGAAGGCAGTTCTTTCTAGCTGCTGCTTAGCTGAACTCACACATGAATTGTGGCATCCGGAAGCAGGCATGGCATGCTCATGGATCCCCATGGCTGGAGAACTGCAATGAGAAGGGGCTCTTCATGTCCTGTTTGTGGCTTCCTAGAGGCAGCTGGGTGACCACTGGGGGAAGCAGGATGCTACAAGAGACCCTTGTCTGGGGTCCCACTTGTGAGATCCCAGATTCAGCTCTCAGGAAGTGCCCTTAGGCAAGCCATTTCTCCCTCTTTTCAGCCCTACACACACCCTCTCGCTATTTTTGCAGGACGACCCAGTTTGCTTGACCTTGCTGGTTTGTCCTGATGACTGAGAGAATGTCTGTGCTGCATGTGAGTGTTGCATTGAAGGCAGAAAAACACAACTGGTTTGAGCTGGTGTGAGTCATGTCTCTCCACATGGAGCCACCCTATTATGCAGGGTATGGACCTCTTAACTGAAGAGTCTCTGCAAATTACTGCTCCCAAAACTCTTTGGGAAGCTCCATGAGAACTCAACCCTCATAGGAACATGCAGATCTGCCTTTAGTCAATAGGGGATTTCGCTCTCCAAGTTGGAGTCTAAATATCAACAGTGGCCATATAGCATCATATTGTACCATCTGTATTTAAAAATCACAATTTATGAAACCACCAAGGGACTTTTGGGTCATGATGCCACAGCAATAATAATAAATGGGGCATGTTTTCATAATCCCTCCACCCCAAAGCTGCACAGAGATCTTGGAGAGCTGTCACAGCCCAAGGAAATAGATTGTACCTTCAAAGCAGTCAGTCCTAGAGGAGATCAACCCTAACTGCTCTGTAGAAGGCCAGATACTGAAGATGAAACTCAAATACTTTGGCCACCTAATGAGAAGGAAGGACTCCCTGGAGAAGAGCCTAATGCTGGGAACAATTGACAGCAAAAGAAGAAGGGGATGGCAGAGGATGAGGTGGCTGGATGGAGTCACTGAAGCAGTTGGTATGAGCTTGAGTGGACTCAGGGGGATGGTGGAGGACAGGAAGGCCTGGAGGAGTGTTGTCCATGGGGTTGCAACAGGTTGGATGTGACTTCACAATTAGCAAGCAAGCAAGCAATTAATTACTTGGGCAAGATCTTATGCAGCTTTTCCTGGATTTCTGTTGGGGAGATGTTGTTGGGCCTGAATTCCTAGCATCCCTGATTGTTGGTCATCCTGGCAAGGACTCTTGGATTTGCAGTCCTGGGCAACCAAGCCACGTTGAGAGTGTTACTGCTGGTTTATTACCACTCGGGAGCAAATTCTATGATACTCTGTCCTGTACGTTCTGTGGGGAGGACTTTCCAACCATACTGTGATCTGCTGGGACTCATTTGGCCATGATGTGGAGAAGAGTCACCTTCTCAAACGTGGTCATCATTGCAAGGCAGGATCTCATTGAGACCACTAGGCCTCCTAATGTTGGCAAGAGCAACTGAGGACACCCTTGCTTACCCAAGCACCATCAGTCCTGCCCTTGCATTGTCATGTGATTTCCCCGATTCTGTCACTGCTTAATTTTTGTATTGGTTTTATTGTATTCCATCCTGATTTTATAACTTATTTGGGACTTATTGATTTTAGAAGCTCAAAGCAGTATAGATAAAAATATCTGGGAATTACCAAGTTGGAGAAAGAGGGTCAATGGCCCTAAAAGGAAATTTTCATTAGATCCTGTAGCAGAGGCTTTTTTGTGGTGGCCCAACACCTTTCAATTTATAGGGGTCTCTGCCAGGCCCATCATTTGCTCTTCATAAATGGGCGAAAAAAGTATTATTTGAAAGATTTTTCTTGATTGGTTTTATGCAGTCTAAATATGGTTATAACTGGTGTGTTTTAAAGTTTTGTTTATTGGGATGTCTTACAGTTGTAATGATTATTCTTGTGAGCCATTCTTGGAGGATATACATATCCAAAATAAAATGAACATTTCGTACAAAGTCAACTCATCCCCCCCTTTTCAACTGCTGCCTCTATTCACAGTTGTGCGACTAGAACGGAGACCCCAGTAAAAAAATGTAACATCCTAACAAAATGCAGTTTAAAGTGTTTGAAGTCTGTAGGATTTGCTCTGTTTTCCTTTCATTTGACAAGTTTGTGAGTGTCTTTCTGCAGATCCTAAATCCTTGAACTTGTAAGCTCAGCCAGCAGATGTATTTCTGCAAAGCATTAAAACTGAAGGCATTGTAGAACTAGCAACAAAGAGATCTTGCGCAAGGAACGGAAGTGTTTGTTACTGCTGCATTTTGTTGATAGATTTTCTTTTTGTGTCCGCCTGGGCCAAGAGGCATGTTGCTCTTGGCCAATGAACTATAAATGTGTGGAAGTTGGGAATTGTGTAACTCAGAAATAGTTTTTCCAAGTTATTAAAGGAATAAAAATCCAAGTATTTCTTGAAGATGAATAATGATAAATTCAAGTTGTCCTACAGCCTGAACCTTTCTTTCAAATTTAATTTTAATTTATACACGCATCTTCAACCCAGTGCCTTCTAGATGTTTTGGACTTTAATTCCCATGAGCCCCAGGCAAGATGACCAATTGTATATAGGCCAAAACATCTGAAGGGCACCACGTTGAGGAAGGCTGCTCTGTCCTATGCTGCCATTTCCTTTTCTGTTCTCTTTTTCATCCCTCTGTCCCCTTGGAATCCTAAATCTAGCAAACATATTGGCTGCAACTCCACATTTACTTCCAAGTAAGTACATCTGCATAAACATGATCTGGATTGTTGTTCAGAAACCATCACCCTTATATTACCAACTATATGTTCTCCAGAAACATCTGGCAAGTGAGCCTTTTTTTGGTCATGAGGAAGAAAAGATGGGTTTTTCTCACTTTAACAATGGGCTGTTGGGAATGTTGAAGCTTCAGTGCTGCTCCCTGAATTTGGTGCAAAATAATACGCCACCCTTTATTCCTTAAAACCACAGAAAGCATGGCCTCTGGACAGCTCTGAGCAATGCACCGCTGCAGATGTGGTGAGGAGACACGTCTCCAAGCTTACCAGCCATCACAGAAACAAAACATTCAACCAGCTTAGGCTGCGAGAAAACTCCCTGGCACAATGCAATGCAAGGAGCAAAGTATGTGGTGCAAAAGGGAAGAACGATCTCCTTCGCAGCTGGGCTATTTGCCATACTCGATAAGGTCCTCCATTCCCAGTGAGGTGGAGGATGCAGCCATGCAAGTGAATACCACACTCAAGCCCGCAAACAATATACTGTTTTTATTTACAGTGCTTGTATGTGGGATCCCACATCATGAATGGGAGAGAGAAGAGGATATCAGCCTGTTCTTCCGAAAAGCGCTCTCTTGGTGTATTCTCAGCCCGAATGGTTCCAGGTCCACCTCCTCACAATTCCAGTAAGGGGGAATAAATACCTTTGCATGTAATCCTTGTAGCTCGGTGCTGCCCACTACTGGAGAAAGGTTTGATGGATTTGAATGCCATGCTGGTTATTTACAGGCAAAGGATAAAAGCTGCACGAAAAGCTGTCTCGCCCTCTCTCCAGCCTATTCCAGCACTGCATTCTCTTATGCCCACCCATCATATCAATGAGCCCATCCTACCCTGTGCCCTCATGTATTTATTGTCCCCCGCATTAAGATCTGAGGGGATTCCTTATGCGCTTAAGGTTAAGCTTGTGCTTTAGCCATGATTGAAGAACCTGACTTGACGCATTGCTTAAAATGATATATGTGTATATATATATGTATGTATGTATGCATATAAAATGAAATTGTAAAATGGCCATTAAAACACATTTGATGCAACCCAGCAGGTAATAATTGCAACTAAACTCAAGCTACTCGCGAGTAGGTTCCACTGAATGCAGTGAGACTTCTGTATGACCCTCAGCAGGGATCAAGCCACTTATCTCAAAGAAAGCCTGAAACAGCACCTTGTTGCATCTTCTTTCACCGATGCTACAGCTGCAAGCCTCGACCCAACTGCGCAGGAGGAAGCCCCACTGAGCTGAAAGGGATGCACTTCTCAGTAGACAGGTATAGGGTTGCACCATTAAGCCTGGATTCTGTGCACACACACCTTCTAAGTAGGTGTGCCCCATTAGTTGCAGCTAGCTTGTGCTGGATTGCACAAACCTTTTCTTGTTTAAAAAAACCATGCAGCTTAAAAGGAAAACAATTTGTAGTAGAAACAAGTGAGCGGAGAAAACAAGCAATGGTTTTCACTGAACCCTTAAAGGGGGTATAAAAATTGAAGAGAGGTGAGATGCAAACCCATAACTTTCATCCAAGTTACAATGAGAAATTATATTTCAATGGGGAGTGTCCACTCTTAAGCAGGGGCAGGAGGACAGGGATGGCTAGTTGGCAGCAAGATTTGGAGCTTTTCCGGGCAGGGAGCGTCGCCTCTCCAAATCGCCATACCCCATCCTTGAGGATATTCGGTTTAGCCCCACTGCAGAGCACGATCCTGCCATCTCCCACAGCTGCAGGATCCCTGGATGATCATCCAGTGGGTAAAAAAATAGAGGATTCTGTTGGCGTTTCTGGCTGCCATGTGTTGCGCTCACTAGTGCTTGGTTATGGCTCGTCCATTGCCCGGCTTCCACTCACAGGCCAGCTGTTATCCCGTGCTCTCCAGCCTTCCACCACTGGAGGACCGCTCTCTCAACAGCATCTGCTTCCAGGGCTGTCTCTCTAGTGGTTGCCTCGGATACTGCACTTCCCCCGGGGCTGGCTCCACTGTCCGCTTCTGGGCTCCCTCTCCCCATGGTGGCTGCCTCCCACGCTTAACACCTGAACCCCGCCGTCACCTGGCTCAGGCACTCTGATCGATGATGACGTGCCGGTAGATGTGCGTTTTGCCCTTGAAGCTGGAGGCAATCAGGAAATCTTGCTTGTCAATGCTGAGGTGGGCGAAGGCGCGTGGGGCCTGGGTGCTCAGCTCTTGGAAGTGCTGGAAGAGCCCCGTGATGGGGTCATAGAGGTACACTTTGCTGAAGGAGAAGTCATTGCCGAGAAATGCGTAGCGGTAACCAGCGATGCTCAGAGGCTGAAAGACCATGGAGCCACGCGAAGGCATCTGCTGGACATCTCGGAACATTGAACCATCCCAGTGCATCACCTGACGGTTGCAGAGAACATCATAAGCAAATGTGCTTGGAAACGGGGAGACTTCAATAAAATGTGAAGCAGGGTTAGGTCTCCTGCTTGTATGCAAGCTGTGAATCAAAAGCCAGGAACACCTCTCATAACAGAGGAAAGTAACTTCTGGCCTTTCAAGTGCTTTGACCCCCAACTCCCATTATCCTCCATCATTAGTTATGATGACTTAGCTGATCAGAGTTTTTGGCCAAACCATCTGAGGGACCACAAGTGACCCATACCTGTATCTTAAGGCAGTGGAGTGTGGGTAAACTTCAGGTTCATGGGCACCACATATCTTTTCCCCTGGACCCAAAGTTCCACTTGGCTTCAGCCAAGATGGTGGCCAACAGCACAGAACTAATTACCCTTTGCTCATATAGATATGTGTCCTTCTTCAAGGAACAGGGAAGCTGTCCTATATTTGAAGGGCTGTCCCATCCAATTTTGGTTTAATGATAATGGCCACTTTAATTCTAATGACCATGGCCACTGTTGCTGCCCATCCACAGTACTCAAACATCAGGCTAAGTGGGAAGGCCCATGGGTCATCTGGTCACAATCTTCCATACTATAGTGAGATGGACACATTTCTACTTCGACTGTAATCATTATTTCTAAATGTTCGTCGATATGGGCAAATGAGAGTATGGAAATTTCATCCAAATTTATATCCTCTTTTCTTCTCATTTTTGGTGATGCATTTCTCTTCTTAGCCTTTATGTATGGCCACCCTGGAGTGGATCACAGATTTTCGCACTCTTAGCTTACAAGATAAACATGCTTCTGTGAAACAGATGGGAGCTCAAGATCCTTGTAGATCTACTGCAAATCATCCAGAGATCTACCAGAGGATCCTGATCTACCTTCTGTCCACATCTGAGGAAGCAGGCACAACTGGAAAGCACATGTCCATGCACACTTAGAAGCAGATGCTGTAGGTATCTGACTGGGCATTTAAAGGAATTGGGGCTAAGGCAGTGCTACCTGGGCTCAGTGTTTTGCAGAGCAATTAGCACCATGGATCCTAGTTAGAGGCCTTTCAGTCTAAACACAACAAACAGAACAAAGGAAACATGCCTCTGAGGGTGATATGAGGAAATGTTCAGTAACTCCGGCGTAGTGCAAGGAGTTTCTGTCACTGGCTGGAACTGAAGATGCAAACTATTTGAATTCACATGGTAAACTGAACTGAACCAGACCGAACCAAGCCGTGGATAGTTAGCTATAGAACTCCCTCACTATTAGTATGAATGGATTTAGATGCTTAGATAACCACACGCAAGATAATTCTGCCTCAGTTGCACCCAGCACTGTAGATTCTGCAAGGAGTAAGTGAATGGGCTCAGAAGTGGAATTCAGGTATGTGCTGAGCAGGCCCTGCCTGGTAAAATATTAAGCAGCTTCACCAGATTAAAATTGAGTGAGGGAGTGAATGAGTGAGTGAGTGAGTGAATGAATGGATGATTGAATGAATGGATGATTGATTGAATGAATGAATGAATGAATGATAGGCCCTTTCCTACCTATAAGCATCTTAAGAATCCAGTATTTAATATTTATATGTGTTAAGTTCTCTGTATTTAACTTTTAACTTCTATTTCGTGGAAAGAAAACAATAGAAACATTTGAAAAAAACAATTCACTGGTGTGCTCCAACTGTAAAATGGATAGATATTACAGGAAATCTTCAAAAAAGGTAGAAACAATTACTCACTTGACCAAGGTGTAATTCCTTGGTAATTGATTATATTTCTATCTATGAATCTATATTTCTGTCCCTTGATATGTAGACTGTAGATGAAAGCAAGTGTGGCACAGAGGTTAGAGTGTTGCACTGGAACTCAGGAGATCAGGGTCCTAGTCTCCACTCAGCCAACTGGGTGACTTTGGGCCAGTCATTGACTCCCAGCCTAACCCACCTCACAGGGCTGTTGTGAGCTTTAAAATGAAGAGGAGGAGAACCTTGTAAGCTGCTTTGTATTTTTTGCAAAAGGAGGAAAGGTGAGCTGTAAAACTAATATAACAGTAATAATTGCTTCAGTTATTGGCTCCGCATATATGCTATTTAATTCTAGTTGGAAATTTGGTAGAGCAGTAGTGGAAAGTCAAAGGCAGAAGAAGGAAAGGAAAACCAAATATGAGATGAACGGAATCCATAAAAGAAACCACGATGTTGGACTTGTGGGGCTGTGGTGGGCAGAACATTTTGGCAGGCCTTCAGTCATGAGGTTGCCACAAGTGAGAAATGACTTGATGGTACATAACAACACCACCAACATCCGTGGTGGTCTCAAAAATTCTATGATGAGTTATTGTCTTGATGTATTATTATTCCATCTGTGCCTAGAGGTCTTCCACATCAAATCCATGATGCCATTCTCAGATTTTTATGAAAGCTCGTGCTATGCAATACAGAGAAGAGGATTATTTTCCCTCTTCCACCTGGCTCTATGCTTGTGCCACCTAGACAAGAGGCATTTCACGTAACCTCTCTGTCTGATACCCTGTTGGAGGATTGTCTTGCAAAGTACCCTGAGCTTTAAGAGGAAGGAAATATAATTAATTACACCTATTTTCTCACATGGCTAAAGACAATGGTAGTCTTAACCAGTCTCGGGAGTGTCTGCCATCATGGCAATCCACACTCTGCCTCCAATGCAACTGGTCAAGAATGGAACTGTAGCTACCATCTCAGCTCTTGTCTGGTGGCACTCTAGTTTTCCACTTGACTTTACAAAGATTCAGACACTGTCCTTGCTCCTCACTCTAAGCAATAATGGAGAAATAGAATCTGATCCAGTCCCTTTTCCCACCCAGTGCAGGAAAGGCACAGCTAGAGCAATAGATGGTAGTCCGGCTTCTTCTTGAAGACGTCCACAGAATGAAAGCTCCTCACTCTCGCCCCAGACCGGTTGGTTCTTTTGCAGAACTGCTCTTCCCATTAGGAAATACTTCTAATTTTTAATTGAAATCTATCTTCCTGTAATATAAGCCAATTAAATGTAATCCTGAGCAAGAGAGAACAGGTCTTTGCCATCACCTACGTGATAGCCATTTAGAAGTTTGAAGAGAGCTCTTAAGTTTGAATTTGTCTACATCCTCCAGAAGGCTAGGCTGGAACCGATGGGTGGAAAATGCAAGGAAGCAGATTTGGGGTTAACTGTAGGAGAAACTTCCTAACAGTAAGAACTGTTGGATGCTGTGTAGAAACTTCATTGGGCAGGAAGCTGAACTAGATGACTTTCAAGATATCTTTCAAATCTGATTGCTAAAGTGTGGTGCCCAGAATAGGATATAGTCTGACAGATAGAATAAAATGGAACTATTCCCTTCTTTAAGTTGAAAAAAGATGTTCTGTTCAGTGATAGCTAGTTCCCAATGGTCTGACAGGGTGGAGGACAGGTCACCAGAAGTGAATTCAAGGACATGACTAGAGGCAGAGCCATCTTTTGATCTCCACCACTCTTGATCTCCACCACAGAAAGCAGAAAATAAGATGCAAGAGCAGTAGGATCACGAATGCGAAGGAGAAGGACCCAGATAGCCACACAAGGCACACCTTTGAACCCACAGTCTCCTCTTCCAGCCACAACTCTTGTTGTATAAGCATATTTCATTGCATGCATGCAGACTTTAAGGCCATGGGTGCAAAACATTGGGGAATGCATGGAACCTCATGCGGTGGAATGAAAACAAGAGGTTCCCTGTGCCCACTTGCTTTGCCTGCAGGCCACCAGCTTGCACACCCACACCTCTGGCTGAGCAATGAGCTTCGATGTATGCACAACAAGTGGGCCAAGGGTAGCACCAGCAGCATTGCCAGTCCCGGTGCCTGAGCATGAATACCTTCCTCTGAGCGGCAAAATCAGACTTGGCGGCATTCCTCCTCTAGACTCACCTTGGAATCACCAAGGAATCGGGTCAGGCAGATGTACACATCCTCCTTGACCTTGAAGTGCTTGACAGCATAGACGTCGTCCATGTCGGGGATGTCAGTGCGGCGCACAAACTGCTGCTTGTTCCATTGGTAGATGACGGGGCGCTGGGAGCTGCTGGCCAAGATGAGGTGAGGTTTGCCTGCAATCTCCAGAAATTCAGCATCTGTGTCGCGGTACCAGGCATGCAGTGACTGGTGGGAGTAGAAGCCATGGCCATTCCAGCGGTACAAGGTGGTAGAACCTGCCTTGGAGCTGTCAGCCATGATGAAATACCAGTCTCCTTCCACACGGAAGACCTCAATGTCATTAGGTTTGCGAATCTGTGAGCTCTCAATAACCTGCATGTGTAGAAACTGCCCGGTGGCTTCCTGCCTCTTGTAGATGTGTGAGCCTCGGAACAGCTGTGCCACCACCACAAAGAGTTCGTCCTCAATCATTAGAGGTTTGCAGACCACTGTGGATGAACCTAGGAAGTGAAGAGGGCCAAGACACAATGAATCATTTCCCCTTTCTTTAGTTAAGTCTAATGTTAGGAGCATACAGTTACAGGAATCAGCAAGCAAGGAGGAGCCCGGCGGAACATAAGCAAAATGGCGGATGGTACGGGGGAATAGATGCAGGTGTTCAAGTATTCACTCTGTGGTGCAACTCAATGGGGGTAAACCATATCCATCCATTATGACCCTGAGAAAGTAAGGCAGTGTCTCCATCCAGTTGTGCTGAGAGGGGAACCAGGTCTGTTTATATCTGTGAAGAGGCATCTTACCATTGATGTAGGCATAGTTGCGGAACTTTCCCACCACGTGGTCCCACTCCATGAAGCTGCAGCGTCCAGTGAAGGGCTGGGCAATCACCAAGTTCTGTTCTCCGTGGTAGGTGAAGGTTTCTACTGAGAGCGACTGTTCTGGCAGCGTCCCGGAGAGGACAAGCTCTGCAGGAAGGACAATGACGATTAGTGCTAGAACCAGAAGGGACCCTTCTTTTGGTGTCAACTGTCCAGGGTAGAAAATGCGGCTAGATGACTGCAACACAGTTTGTCCAGAAGTGCCTGTCTGCAAGGTTTGCTTCTGCTGCTTCTTTGAAATGCATCCTGCAGGTGGTACATAGCTTGGATGTTGCCGTGCCTTCCATTTTGCCTCACCAAAAACAAACAAAAGCAGTGAGAGCCATGCTAGAGCAGGTCAAAGTCCACCTAGTCCAGCATTCCACTTCCCACAGTGGTTATCCAGATGACTCTGGGAAACCTGGCTGCGAGAACAGAGCCCATTCCTACTTCTCTGACTCAGTGTGGCATCCCCAGGCACTGCACCGAGAGAGGGTGGGAACAGGGGTGAGTCAGTTGGGTTTCCTCAAGAGGAGGCACAGCCACGCATGCCCCTGCCCACTGTGCTGATTGCCTTGGGTGATCGCACCAGTAGGCAGGGGGGGAAAGAGCAGCTGTGAACCTCTAGAGGAAACCCAGCCAAAATCCCATGGCCGCTGTTTAGTGCAGTGCCTGCGGGTGCCAGGGAACCCATCATGTGTGCCAAATTTCAGATCGTTAACCACTGCAGGTAGGGAGCTGCTCTCCTGTGCTCTGTAAAGAGTCATGCCTGGTGATGGTGAGATTATGTGTGTGAGAGAGAAAGAAAGAAAGATGAGAGTCACATATTGCAAAGGCATTCATTTTCAATGTTTGCTCTTCAGTCACCAATAATTTCATAAGACTTTGTGTCATTATATGCTAATTAGATCTCTTTCAATGTGTGTGTGTATAAAGAGTCAAGAATGAATTAAATAATAGCAAACTTTATTGCAAATGTTATTAATCATGATTACTAGATTGCTCATTATTATCATCATCATTCCTGTTATTAGATCAAGTATTAGATCAACTTTTCCTCTTACTGTTGTATCCACTGCCTTATATTGACTTGCTTACTAAACCCATAGTTCCCCCACCCCAGAGTTAGTGCAGAAAGAACTATCCTGCTTGCATGCATGAGGCTAGAAGTTGACCATGGAAGGGGCCAAAGGTGTGCCGGGCAGTGCGAAGATGGGACCAGCTCAACAGCTTACACTTCATCCAGAGGGTGGCCCAGCCTCCTTCCCTCCTCCTCTGCCACCCTTTATTTGTATGGCTGAAAGCAGCCATCTCAATGAAATGCAGCACTGAATCCACGCAAACCCAGAGGCATTTGGAAGCCTTCACACTTTGACAGTGTGAAGTGGGGCAGCTGCTCTGAAGGAAGAGTGGGGAATCAAGGTCTAAGCTAGGTGTGGGGGAGCAGGCTTTCCTCAGTGGAAGAAGTGTACAGGGCAAAGGCAGTGCTGAACCTCTTTCATCCAGAAGGACGCCTTCAATTTCAGAGAAGCTTTCCAGCCCCAGCCTCCTTCCCTCCCCTTCTGCCATGCTTTATTCATATGGCTGGAAGCAGCCGTCTCAGTGGGGCAAAAGGCAACAGGAATGGGTCCCTACCACTAGCAATCAAGCCTCGGGAGATTGGGAAATGTCAATGAAATAAAACGTGCAAAGGATGGGAGATCACCAATAGACCATGAAGGGAGAAAGCAGAACCACCTGATGACGTGAGCCACCCGGTCATGGTTCTCTAGAGAACCCCAGTGAGCCAGATTGGTTCCCAGTAGGCCGAACTTTTCTCCAGGGCCTATAGTTCAACCCCTCTGGAATAGGACAAGCTATAGCCTACCTGTGGTGATGCAGTTGAAGGCTCCAGGACGGAGTTCGCTGAGACTGGTGCGGTTCAGCTCAGCTGGTGACCAGCACTCTATGGGTTCCACCAAGGCGTTGGTGTGACTCACCCACTCCACCAGCCATTTCAGCTTGCAGTCACAGTGGAAGGCATTGCCCCTCAAGTCCCTGCCGAGGAGAGAAGCCTGCTGTGAGCACACTAGACGGGGTCCAGCCAACGGAGGACCCACCATCAGATCCAGGAGTTTGTGTGTAGGGAGGGGGAGGCTTCTTTGGAGCAACTGGGAGTGAGCCCACCCTGCCGTTGTCACTCCTCTTCCATTCACTTGCCTTTCCCTTCCTCTGGACCCCATCTACAGAACCACCCAGAGGGGAGATGGTTCCAGACCTATTATGTTCTCTGGTCACCATTTGTAGGCTTAGAGAGAGTAGGTAAAGAGACAGTGGCAGCAAGGAGAACAGCCAGCCAGACTGGGAGGGTCTGGGAATGGGTGCCCAAATAGTACTTGGCAGATGCCCAGTGATGGTTACCCAAGGCTGACAATTCTGCCTGTGAAAAGCTCTGGCTGACTTTCTAGTCTCTATCCATTTTCTTGAAGGAGGTGTTCAGATGCAGGAAGAAAGCCACAAGTCCTGCTTCTCCTTGCTTCCTTCTCCACCTTCTCTCCTCTTGTGTGCCAACCCACCACCTTCTTTCTGCCATCCTTATCCTGTTTCAGGGCCATTGATGGAACAGAGCTCTGGGTCAACCGTGTCCCAGAAGTGCCAAAGAGCAGAAGAGGATGAGATGTAGCTCCTCTGAGAGTGGGAGAAATCATCCTTTATAGGTCTCAGCCCCAGTGAAAGGGCCTCCATAGAGGAATTCCTTGCCTGCCATTCCATTCATTCACCTTCAGAAAATCTCTGAACTCCTTGGGTGATCAGTTGAGTGTTTATATACAAGGTTGTGTGAAAGGTTTACAAGCTGGGGTGGAGGGGACTCTCGGGTGAGCCTTCCAGAAATAGGAAAGGTCTTTGGAAAACTTCACTGTGTTTCTGTACAAGCTCCATTCCTTGTCCCCTCACCTCAGTTGACTGATGTGCAGTGCCTCACTTCGTCTGTTCGACTCTTACATCCTTTCTCAAATTATTCTGAATGTAGCTTGGACTGGTTTCTGTCAATTAGCCAAGCAAGTAACAGCTTTCCTGAACCCGGCACCTTCCAGATGAGCCAGACTACAATTCTTATCACCCCAAGCCAGCAAGGCCAACCGCTCGGTGCCAGTGGAGGGTTTCAGGTTGGCCAGGGCTGACATATAATCTCATTTCAGGCCAAATGTGTGATATTTGGCATCCTGCTTTGGCTTTTACATGGAAGAAGCAGGTGAGCTTTGCTCATACTCCTTTCAACTAGACGAGAACAGGCCAAATTACTATATCCCCCAAATTCCCCATGTTGATATCTATATTCTTTCTCCCCACAATTTCCCTTGCCCAACAACTTACACTGAAACCAGAGCATCCAAGCCTCGGAACAAGTGTCTTGGTAAGGTCTGTAGGTTATTATGGGCCAGATTCCTGCAGAAAAGGAGAGGGGAGAACACCTTAGCAAGAAGGCAATGTACACACCATGGGTTTGGGTCTGGGGAAGGGTCTTGCAGTTGATTTTAAGGCAGGTGCAATACAGGTGGGGCTAGGCAAGGACCAAAGGTATTTTACTGCTTGAGGCATAAAGGAAAGGGAAATCCCAGGACACACACACACACACACACACACACACAAGATATGGGGCATGGTACCCAAGTCTATTAGCATCACAGCAGAAAATCCCACAAGCCTGGCTCGGTACTCAAATAGGAGAACAATATTACTAATAGGAAGCAAGATCAAACAGCAAATAATGGGCAGCCTTTTTGTGGCAATCCAAGCCAGCTGCCTGGGGTGGCCAGTAGGTCCAAGCCTAGTTTTCCCCACGGTGATAATCCTGTGTTCGGGCTGTACCACCAGACTGCAGCTGGGAGTGCACCCGACAGAGCGCTCCTTCGATCCTTCCATGTGTGAAATGTAATGTCTTACCCATTTCACTGGAAGAAAAGATTTCTGCGAGGAGAAGAGAATAATGTAGGAATACAGCCCAGAATATGCGCGCTAGCCCAGGCACACGTCTATCGCCTCTGTGGAGCCATAGGCTCATGTTGAGATCAGAAGAGGGGGTTTGGTTGTGTTTGAGGGCTTTGCGTAGGAAGAAAGAGGAGATACGGTGGAGTGCAGGAGAGGCCGTAGGCAAAGACTTGTGTTGGTTGGATGCCAAATTATAAGTGGGACTGGTTGGAATTGTCACAGGGTGAGGGTTTATCTGGGACTGGGGATGTGGCAAGAATCACTCACAGATGGAGAAGCGTCTTTAGGCCTCTCAGGGCATTCTTGGAGATAGCGTCGAGTCTGTTTTGTTCAATGAACCTGCAAGGGGAGAGAAGACTCCTTGAGTCACAAAGAAGAGAAGAGAACGGTGGCTAGATCATAAAAGGAAGGCAAAGTAAGATAGACAGATCTAGAAACAGTGTGGTAAGGTTCATGGGTGCAAGTGATACGGAACAGGGGGTGGGGAATATCTAGAAAGTCATGGGCATCTAAGCTTTCCTTCTGAAAATGGGACTTGCTTTTGGGAGCTGCAGGGACAGGCAAGGAGCAACGAACCATGGGCTGTTGTGGCATCATGAGTTATTGTGCTGACTGGACTCGGTTATGCTAACAAGCCATGGCTTCTTAACCACAAACAACTATGAAGAGAATCCACGACTTCTTGTTGGGTTGTGAACTCTTGGCTGCTCAGCATGACTTATTATCTTGGTTGTGTTCAGCAATGACAACCCAGGCTTCTACAACAGTCCACAGTTCAATGACAACCCACATGCAATCCTTGTTGTCAATCTTGTCTTTAAAAGATCGACAAAGCAGATAACCCCTTCCCCTCCAGGTGCCCCTGAACAAAATTGTTAGAGTGACTGCAAGCCTGGTTCTCCCAGAACCCCCTCAGACCTGAAACCAACTAGAAGAGTGGGAATGAAGAAAACATGGCTCAGGCCACAGATTATAAGCACTAACACATTTAACGTGCCTGATTTGGGTTCTTTAAATAGCAAACACACCGTGTCCAGTCAGGGTCAGGAGTATGGGCACTGCAATGAAACCGCCCCCTGTTCCTGAAGTTGCTAGTAACCCGGGAGGTTAACCTTAATTTTCTGAAATTGAGAGCAGTGCTTGCCAGGGACAAGAGGAAGCAATTTCACTGGAACTGCAGTATGTGGGAGAAAGATTAATTCCCTTCCCCAGAGAACACAGGTTTGATCCTTCTTCACTTCTCTCTCATGATCGTAATTTGTAATGGATGCACACACTGGCTGACCCTGGACATCTTATTAACATTAACATACAACTCACAGGTACTCAGGGCATCCCAGCTTTGTGATATGCTGCTTGAGATGGTCTGAATACAGATGTTCTCCTACACAGGTGTGAGCAAACTCGACACCTTATGAATCAACACTGCTTTGTTTATTAGATTTATATCCCACTTTTCGTTTTTTAAAATAACTCAGAGCAGCTTACTTCATTCTCCTCCTGCTGCTCTCCATCTTATCCCCATAATAGCAACAACCCTGTGAGGTAGGTTGGTCTGAGAGTCTGTGACTGGCCCAAAGTCACCCCACTGACTTCATGGCTGAGCTAGGATCACACATATGCACCATTATTGGATGCAAGGCATCCAAGGCAGCCAACGTAACCCTCCTCCTCTGTATTTGGTCCTCAAAACAATCTTGCGAGCATGGCTAGGCTGGGAGTCAGTGAATGGCCCAACTGGATTTTGGCAAAAAGCTTCAGTTGGTGGGCAGTCCAGAAATGCAATAGATGAAATGAAAATGAATGGCCTGAGGTTGCAAACTGAACACCAAACTAGACATGACAACATTCGTGAAATTAACAAACATATACATGGCTTTTAAAAAATTGAGCAGCAAGAGCAGCACCTCCAGTCCAGATTGGAAATCTGGTTCCACTCCAGATTCTACTCCCTGTACCTGTTATTTGTATGGGAAAGCAAGTTTCCATTCACAGAAAATGAGACCCTGTAGGTCTTCCCTGTTTCTTCCCTATTTTCATTCTCACTTCTGACTTAGTGGCAAACCATAATTTGGTTGTCCACCTCTGGCCTTTCTGCAAACCACACTTGGCCTGCAAACCACACTTTGAGCTAGGTTTACAATTCTGGTCTGAACACAGGAAGCTGTCTTATTGGAAGTCAAACTACCAGTCCATCCAGCCCAGCACTGCTGACACAGACTGGCAGCAGCTCTCCAGGGTTTCAAGTAGGATTTTTCCAGTCCTACCTGGAAATGCCGAGGACTGAACTTGGAGGACTCTGCTGCAGACCAAGGGCTCCACCACTGAGCTCCCTCCCCTTCCCAAAGTCAAAAGGTAGTTTGCACAGAAACCACTGATTGCCCAGTTCGGCATCAAACTTGGGTTGCTGTAGATGGGAAGGTACTCCAGGGAAGTGCAGGAGGAGGAGGGACGTTGCAAGCACTGATTCATTCATGTACAGCCAAACCATAATTTGGTATGACAGCCGTCTTTCTGCATAAGCCCTGCTTTCAAAACCCACAAAGAGGCACTTACATTGTGACTTGGGTCGTATATATGTGTGTTTGGATGGATGGAAATTAAAGATAAAAAATAAACACGGCAAAGTCCAGATGACTGTTCAGCTAATGATGTTTAAAATGTTTAAAATATTAAAATTAAATTCTACTCTAATATGAATCACTCAGTCCTATACATTGATGCTGCCTCAGGCACTCATCACAGCCCCTTGCGCTGCTGAACCCATGACTGTTTCCTGCTGCCGCCCGCTGTCATTCCAAGCCCTTGACGGCCCCACGCCACCCATGGCAAGGCCCCCCCATTCCACACTCACAGGTACTCCAGCTGCACGAGTCCCACAAAGGCGTCGTCCCCAATCAGATCCAGGGAGTTGTAAGTGATCAAGCTGGGGGTGGGGAGGGGGTGGGGAGGGAGAAGCAGGCAGGTCAGACACTGGGAAATATGAAGGAAGGGCACCAAGTTTTAGATGGAAAAGGCAGAGACTATTATCAAAAAGACTTAGATCCTGTGTAAAACATGACAGGTACCCTAAATGGTTGGGAATAAGGTTGAGGCACGACACGTTCTGATATTCACACTGTGGGATCATGACAAGCTCCCCCTGGCATCAGATCCATGGGGCACCTGGGGAGGTATATCGGGAAGGAACATAGCTGGAACTCGGTCCTTGACTGCTGCACAGACCCAGGGGGTGCCTGAGGCTGGCAATCGCCCTTGGTCTCATTGCCCAGGATGCAAATGGAAAGGAGCTCTCACCATAATCCATTTCCCTAAGCCATGCCTGTAGTGCGTAAAACCTTCTCCTTCACCAGCTACAGACAAGAAGCTTGCACTGAAAATGCACAAATGCTGGGAATCTGAGTCCAAACTATCCAGTGAACACTATGACATATTTCTGTCAGTTCATGGCATGAGTTTTAGTCAATTAATGGAATTATCAATTGAGTAAACCTGTATTCATTTGCAGAAAAAACTTTTGTTCTAACTTGTAGTGGTTGAAATGGACTTCTTTGTGTTTTACATGATGCACATCTTTTAATGTGCATGAAAGTAGCTGTCATATTTCAAGAAGTTGTCCCCATTCTCTCCAGTGATGCCATCAGGGCAGGATGTTGGGGAAAAGCCCAGGACCTTACTGAGTAGAACAAGCAGGAGGATCCATAAAAGCAACCGGGCTGGCTCATCCCATTTTGAAGTGATCTTCCCCAATGTTATGCCAATGACTATCTATATTGTATGAGCTCTGCTGGAAGAATAATAAGGAAGGTTCAACAGGTAGCAGAGTGCACTTTCCCAGTATCCTAAAGCCAGACTGTATGGCCTTCAGCTTGTTAGAAAGAACACCAGAAAGAATTTTTTCGACCTGCCTGCCCCAATCACTCTGTAGAGAAGAGCAGCCTTTGCTGTAAGAAGCCGTTGGAAGCTGTCCCGAGGCTTATGTGACTGGGACGGCATATAAAGACACTAAATAAATAAAAATAAATAAATAAAATAAGAACAAAACTTTTCTGAGACAGCTTCACTTCCAGAAAGAAGGCTGGGATAGGACCTGTGTATATCCTGGCAGACTCTGCAGTAGTGGGAGACAGACTTTATAAAATCTGAAGCAAGAGGTATTTGCCTTCTGTTCTTAGCCTGGAGTGGGGAATTAATTCATTGCTTGCCCAGACAAATTTGGAGATCCAGTGGGGCATCTGCTGACCTATTCCAGGAACCAGTACAGCTACAGGAAAGAAGAGTGCAACCTTTCTTCGCTTGTTTGTATTTTGCATCACTACTTTTCATCATTGTATTCAACAAATTGTATATCAACACTGACACAGGTAGTTTTGCTTTCTCCTATATCCACAAATCTTAAGTGAGGTGCCATGATGGAATCAGGGCCCCGGGGTTAAAAATGATGAGGGGGTAGTGACCAGGAGCATGCCTGGAGTCTAAAATTATGTAACTGCCCTATTGTTTCTGTTATGCACAGGTTGTAATGCCTCCTTTAAAGAGAAGTTTGTGATCTGCAGTTTAAGTGCTTGTATCAACATAATTATTCATATGTAATTCGGTTAAAGGAATAATGGGGAGCGCCTTTCTAAATGATTCAAATGATTCAAATGCACAACGTTGCAGTGGCAGATAGATATGGATAACACAACAGGGCATTGTGGCAACTGTCAAGTAGCAGTAGTCTATGCCAGCCACCATCTTGAGCAGGTAAGCCCCAACTGGGCATAGCTACATGCTTGGATCCCAGTCATTGGAGATTCTGCAAGTGTTACACAAGCCTTGCATAATCCTACAATGATCTGAGGGTTGTTTAACCACTGCATAATCTAAAATGGGAGGTTATGGCAGGGGTAGCTGACATGACAAGCCCTGTTTTCCAAGTCAAGTCCCTTATAAGTACAAGAACACCTGTGGGCACGCAGCTGATTGTGCATTAAATAACCCAGAGAGGGTGGAGGCATGTTGTGAGCACCAAGTCCTATTATCCACACATTGAACTGACTGCACTCCTTTGCCAACCATCTCAGAGCACGAGTCAGGGCAAAGGTGCACACTGACATGTGCCCAGAATCACAGAAAAGGGATTGACACCAGCTGGGAGCCTGCCTGGTAAATGGAGAGACCTATTCTCAGTTACCAGAGATATATTCATAATGTGCACCTACATACACACTCTTCGACACACTCAGACACCACTCACAACCAAGGTGTCAGGATCCTTACAGCAGCCGAAGAGTTGGCACACCTTGAAAGCTGCCTTCTAAGATCTCACTGAATCCTGAACGAATGAGGGACCTGCAGAAAAGGAGGGAGAGGGAGGGGGAGAGAGAGTGGACCAGGTGAAGTGAGAGAAGCTGTCAGCTACAGGAGCACCAGCACAGGAAGGCTGGCACAATCCGCCCTGGCAGTGCCTGAGTCAACCTGCCCAGCCAGATGTGCCAACCCTAGCAACATCTCTGCTATCATCCAGAGACAGCATCCCAGGGACCTGATGTCTGGGGGTTTCTGCACCCTTTCTTCATTGCCGCACAAAGAGTAGTAACAGGGATTAGATCTGCTTCACTTTTTTGCCCCCCATCCTCAATGCAGCATCTAAAATTTAATTTGCTAGGTGGCGCCAATCTCTGCTTCCCTGAAGTACACTTTGCATATGAACCCTTGGGATTCCTATGGAGAGTAAGGGAGAGATGAGAGATGTGCACTCAATGATGCATGGTGTGGAAAAGAAGGAAGTGGACATAGTTCCCCCTTTGCCATTTGAAATAGAGGCCACAGCCATCCTTAGGAAGAGCATTGATGGAACGTAGTGCATAGCAAAACTATGGAATTCAGCATTGTAGGTCATAGCTATGGCTAGCAATTTGACTGACTTTAGCAAGGGATTGGACTAGTTCATGGCGAAGAAGGCCTTCCATGGCTACTGGTCGGATGACTCTAGGCTGCCTTCAGGGTCAGAGGGAGTACGGCGATGTCCAACAGTGGCAAGCGAACACATGGCAGGGTGCTGTTGCACTCGTCTCATGGGTGGGTTGTCCACAAACTGCTAGCAGCCACTTTGTCAACAGACTGCTAGAAAAGAGGGCGCCTTGGTCTGGTGCAGCACAGCTGTTTTGTGTTCTGTGTCCATTGGGAAGGGTCTACCTCCAGGTACCTGCATGCAGGTCCACCTGCCTGCCTATGCAACGGCTGCACATTTCATTGGGCCAGCAGGTGCTTCTCCAAGAAGCTTCTCCAGTCTACCCCAAAGGATTAAGCATGCACTTTTGGCTGTTAAATCTACCTCTGTGGAGACCATCTTTAAGCATCGGTGAGGTTCTAGGCATCTGGTAGGATCCAGCCATTCTCAACTTGGTGCCTGCCAGATGTTTTGGACCACAACCCCGATCATCCCTGGCCATTTGTCCATGCTAGCTGGAACAGATGGGAGTTGTACCGCAAAGCATCTGAAGAGTGCTAGGTTGGGAAAGGCTGAGACAGAGCATGCACCCGCTGGTGTCAGAAGCCAGGGGTCCCTTCAGCCTCCTCTCAGCACAATTTAGAAGGCAGACTGGAATCCTGCAGCGCCAAAACTTGTGTCCCGCCTAGCCTGACAGTCACGCCACAACCAGCCGACACTGGTCTGCCCTCACTGCAGTGAGGGGAGAGGTGCATCCACCCCGCTCCAAGCCAGAACAGGTGCAGGCGTTCAGCACGCCCAGAGGTGCTTGCCATGCACCTCTCATGGGCAACGAACCCTTCCTGGCTGTCTTCAGGTGGCCCCACCAGGCAGTGGCGGCAGCAGAAAGATCCTTGCCCCCTGGCCTACCCTTTGGGGCAGTTTTGGGAGGCTTAGGGCTCTGGGGAGTGATCCTGTTAGAAGAGTGCGTGGGAGAAAGAGAGAGCACGCGCGAGGGGAGCCTTGTGGATTTCGCTTCCCTCTCCATAAATTGAACATTGCCTCCCCGCTCCCACCCCCGCAAGCCTCGATCTACTCACGACTCTCTCCGTGAACGGAATAATCCCGAATCAGGTGTGGAACCTAAACACCCCCGGCCTAGATCCTTTAACCCCTTGCTGCCCACCCGACCGCCAGCGCACAGCCGTGGCGCGCGTGCAGGGCGGACGTAAGACCCTCGCAAGGGGGCAAGGGAGCCCCCAGCCCCCCCTGCCCGCACATCCCCTCGTCCACCTCCGAGGACCGCGGAGCGCTTACAGGGAGACGCAGTCCTGGGGCAGCTCCCGCGGGATCTCCTTGGCCCGCTCGCACATCGCCGAGTCCTTGGTGCAGTTGCAGCCCTGCGGGCACTTCCTCTTCGGCATCTTTCGGCCCGCGCCCTGCCCGGCGCCCTGCCCGGCGAGCAGCAGCAGCAGCAGCAGCGGCGCGCCGGCCCCGCCGAGCCCCCGGCGCCAGCCCATCCTCCAGCTCAGCCCGGCCGCCCCTTCTGGGCGCGCTCGCTCGCTGGCTCGCCCGCCCGGCCGCCCGGCCGCTCGCCGCCTTCCTCGCTCGCTCGCTCGCTCGCCCCCACGAGCCGCAAAGCGGAGCGCCCCCCGCCCCCGAACCCACCCGCCGCGCCGGGGTTGGCTCTAGTCCAGCGGCAGCGGCAGCCTCCGCGGGTCCATCGCCGCGCCGCGCAGGGATGCGGCGTGCAAGGCACCGGCTCCTTCTGCCACGGTCCAGCCGCCGCCGGGCCCCATCCACCCGGCGGGGAGGGGGCGAGAGGCCTCCCCCGGAGCGGCGCCGCTTCCTCGCTGCCCTCTCCTGGCGCCCACTCCTCCTACCTCCACCTGCCTGCTATTCCGATCCCGCCTCGCCTGCTGGGGGCGGCTTTGCTTTTTATTTTTAGGTTGAATTAAAACGAAATTAATCAGTCGACTAAAATGTGTCGTTTTTTAAAGAACTCTCTTCTGGCAGAAAAGAAGCATCAAGTCGATCTAGTTCTTCTAATGGAACCGATCCTTGAGCGAATCCGACTGAACAGAAAGGGAGAAAGCAAAGGGTGCCCCTCCACCTTGCAGGACGCGTCCAGCACCCGCTTCCCCCCTCTCATTCGCCTCTTTCTTTCCCTCGCCTGGCTCGCTCTCTGTCTCTGCTCCACTCTTGTCTCTGTAGATACATCAGGACCGCGCGCACACACACACACGCGCACAGACACACGCCCGCGCGCTCCCTCGCATTAAGCACTGCCAACCAATTGAAGCACAGACTCTGCGCTAGCACGGCATAAATCTATAGTGGCGGGGCAAGCGAGATAGGAAATAAGTGTGTGTGTATGTGCGCTTGTGTGCATGTGTACCACCACAATCCCCATCATCACCATGCTCAAACCCATCCTGAGGGCATGGAAGAAGTGGGTAGTTGTTATGGGCACGGCCTGGGACCAGGTCGGCACATTTCCAGACTCCCTCTAGGGCAGGGGTCTCAAACTCAACTTACCTGGGGGCCACTGGAAGTAGAGTCTGGGCGAGGTTGGGCCGCATCAAGTACTCCACCCCCGCGGTGGTGGGGGGGGCCGCTCATCCCGCGGCCGGCCTGGGCGCCTCTGGCGCTTTGAAGGCCTCAGGGCCCCTCCCCGTGCCCCGCCCGGCCCGGCAATTTGAGACCCCTGCTCTAGGGCATGATAGGCAACCGGTGTGAAGGTCCCCCCTGCATGCACGTATACCTGCATTTAGAAGCTTGAGCATTGCACATATACCCATGTCGGATGGGGGAGGGCACTGCATGTGCAAACATTGCACATCCTGAAGGGCATGATGAAATTTGTAGGCCGCTCTTCTGTTTTGTTTGTTTGCTTGTTTGTTTTTATACAGCACTGCTGTCTTTCTGTGTGCGCTACATGCTGTCAGGTTGTCTCTGATTTATGGTGACCCTCTGAATGAACACCGTTCTGTCCATAACAGCTCTGTTCAGCTGCTTTTGCAGAAATCATCTGATGTGGGGAGTTGACTTCAGGTGCCATGCTCAAGGGCAGCATGAGAGGGTGACCAACTGTGGCTGGAGCCCAGACGTTTTGATCAGGAGGCCGGAGTCTCCAGGAGGCCACCTTGCTGTCCATCTGAAGTTGCTGGAATAAAGATACAGGACCCCCGGGGCTCTTTCTTGATTCTGAACCCCCAGGATAAGCTGGCTTTTGCCCACATGTGCTTCAGCTCCCATCTTCACCTCCTTAGCAGAATTTTTGCCTGAAGCCCTTTTCCTGCAGTCAAATGCCTTCCTATGCCCTCTCTACCAAGACATTTCTGAGCGGCATCCCAAAAGTCCCGCCCTTGACATCTCTGGGGAGCTCCTGTAAGTGCAGAACTGTGGCTTCCTTGATGGAATTGATCCATCTCGTCTGATCTCCTCCCTCTTCTTCTGCTTTCGACTTTCTCTAGCATAATTGTCTTCTCCAGTGAATTTTGCTTTATGATGTGCCTGAAGCAGAACACCCTCAGTTTCACCCTGTTTGCTTTAAGGAACAGCTCTGGCTTGATTCAATCTAGGACTCACTTGTTCATCTTTCTGTTGGTCCAGAGTACTTGCAAAGCTCTCCTCCAGCACCATGTTTTGAATGCATACATTTTCTTGCTGGTCCTCCTGTCTATATATCCCTTTTTCTAAGTAGGGGAGTCCTTAGGAGACAGGCCCTTTAAAAACACACATACACTCAGAGAAAGACTTTGGAGCACATGTGAATTAGCATATGCAAATGTGTGTGTGTTTTGCCCTCTGGGCCTGTGCCTCGGATCTTTTCAGTGCCTAGCACTGCTCTGGCTGTGCATGAGATCACATCTTGGAGCAGTGAGAAGATATCCTGTTTATTCAGTTCGGCTCAGTTCTGCACCTCTTTCCCTGCAAGTTGCTTAGGCAAGGTAGATGTGGCTCATGCAGTTGTCCCCAAAATGCTGTCATCCAGATGTTAAGGCTGCAGTTTCCAGAATTCCAGTCCATTTGCCAGGCTGGCTGAGACTAATGTGGGTTGAAATCCAGACTATTTGGAGAGCACTCTGTTGGGGGAAGATGGGGCTAGTGGCTGATCCCGAACCACCAAGAATTTGAACCCAGATCTCCCCAGGCAACCTGAGCATTTTTATTTATTTTTTATTTATTTTTCTATTTATATCCTGCCTTTTTCCTACAAAGGGCTCAAGCCAGCTTACATCTCCTCCATCTTATCCCCACCACAACAACCCTGTGAGGTAGGTTGGGCTGAGAGTCTGTGACTGGCCCAAAGTCACCCAGTTGGCTCCATGGCTGAGCAGGGACTCGAACCCGGATCGCCTGAGTCTCAGTCCTGCACTCTTAACCACTACACCACACTGGCTCTCATTTTCCCACAATATCCTTGGACAGCTGCAGGAGGCCCAGAACTCTGGCATGCCTCACCACTGGGGAGTTGCCCTTGTCTCCCCTACTGAAAAAATGGCTGGGCTTGACGTCTGCCAGCTAAACACCCCACAATGCTGCAGAGTGATGCTACTTCAAGAGCATTGTGGGACATTTTGATGTCAATTTCCAGGCCCAGCCTGCTGTGCTGCTCCCCCAGATAATCCAGAAGAGACCTGTTGGCATATGAGAGGTAGGAAAAGAGTTAATCTGTCTTGCATTTGTTTGCATTCAAGAAAATCTCAAGTTCTTGAAGAAGTTTGGAGATGTTGGTAAATTGTTACCAAACAAGGCAGCAAACGAAATTCTCACTCCTCTGACAGGGAACATTCAGTGGCCACAGCTATTCATGGCACTGAGAAGATCATGCTTTCTTTGCCTTTCTTGTAGCTGTTAAAGACAAGGAGCCTGCCAGAAAAACGTGGCAGGCTTAACGGAGCACTGTAAATGTGACTGAAGGGACAGGGATTAAGACCCAGGCTTTTACGAACTAAACCCTTTGCCTGGATGGATAGATCTGCTTTGCTTTATCCCACTGTTCTCTTTCCATCTTATTTCTGGAAGAATTTGTGGATTTGGGTGGGTTTCCATAAACAAAAAGCCACACACATGTGTGATCTGTAATGGCTCCCCTTCCATGATTTCGCTTATTAAGGACCAATAAATGTGGGTCTTGCTTCCAAAGCATTCCTAGACTCTGTCTTTAAAGTCTCAGAAGACATGGCAGGCCATGTCTGGGATCAGGGCCCCTTCAATAGTCCTAGCGAACTGAGGATGGACCTGCGCTCCCTCCACCGCCTTGCCTTGGATTTAAGCACTGGGGAACATTATGGGAGAGGAGAAGCCTGTACAAAATGGAGCACTTAAGGGAAAGGCACCCTTAGCTGTGGAATGTCTGGCTGGAGACAACTCACTGCTATGGGATGTGGGTGGGTTGGTGGTCCTCCAAATAGAAATAGGGAAGAATTAGCAGTAAGTGTTCAAGGAAAGACAGAGGGAGGGAGGGAGGGAGGGAGGGAGGGACAAGGTACCCACCCTCATATGGTCCAGGATAACACCTCTGAGTAGGTTTGCACAGCTTACCCTGTACCTAGAGTAACCTAAAATTGCTCAGGAAACTTCACAAGTACATAGCAACTCCTGGAGTTTTGACAGAAGTACTAAGTTGACATTTAATTTATCTGGGCTCAAAAGTCAAATCTCTGACCAGCTGCTTTGCTTTCATTTTAGACATGAAGACAAGTAGAGAATCTGAACATCACAGCAAGGGAATATCAGTATTTTACCGGCATCGCTAGACACTGTCCAGGTCAGCTGTGGTGAGGCTGTTGAGGGTGGGAGGCTGTATCCTGTCCTGCCTTTGCTTTGACACGCTTATATATTATATCTTCTCATGAGTAAAATCATAAGCCTTTTTAACAACTGATCATCCAAACTTATTTTCTAAAAGTTTCTACATGGTATTTATAATTAAACCCTTTCTCTTCATCCTTCTTTATTCCTTTTTCTTCTCCCAAGAAGGTTAAAACTAGCTAGCGTTCTCTACTGATCACACCATTAATGTTCTAAGGCATCCAGCTTCCTTTTAATCATGCTGAGAGGTGGGGGGCAATGGATGCTGGACTGCAGAAAATAGTTCTGGGAAGACAAGGGTGAGCATGGCACATGCTAACGAGGTGAAAAGTTGCCAGGGTGAATCAAAGCGTATTTTTATCAACATGCTTTTTGTCAACATGTTCTATGTTCTTTTGCTTTGAAATTGGAGCAGCTCCCGGGTGCATCTTTACAGAATGATCCTTGAATTCTTTCCAGTCTAAATGTGTTCAAAGAGTTGCTGGAACTTTGCCGTGTGACAAGCTTTAGAAACAGCTAGAGCAAGGCAGCTTATGCCAGCTTTAACATTCCAGCTGCCACTGACACGGATCCTTGGCGTACCCCTCCTATTGCCCAGACATGGCCGCTCATTAATCTAACCATCGGGATTGTTATGCTTACCTTAGTGTGTTCCTGCTAAGCCTTTCCTTCAAGGAGTTTGCAGCAGCATGCATGCTTT